ACATCAGGGTCTTTTCCAGGGAGTCTTCTCTTCTCACGAGATGGCCAAAGTACTGGAGCCTCAGCTGCAGGATCTGTCCTTCCAGTGAGCACTCAGGGTTGATTTCCTTCAGAATAGATAGTTTTGTTCTCCTTGCAGTCCAGGGAACTTTCCAGAGTCTCCTCCAGCTCCACAATTCAAAAGCATCAATTCGTCCAGCTCTCACCTCCAAACATCGCTACTGGAAAAACCATAGCTTTGACTATGCAGACCTTTGTCAGCAAGGTGATGTATCTGTTTTTTAAGATGCTGTCGAGGTTTGTCATCGCTTTCCTTCCAAGAAGCAGGCGTCTTTTAATTTCATGGCTGCTGTCACTATCTGCAGTTATCATGGAGCCCAAGAAAGTAAAATCTATCACTGCCTCCCTATCTTCCCCTTCTATTTGCCAGGAGGTGATGGGACCAGTGGCCACGATCTTAAATTTTTTGATGTTGAGCTTCAGACCGTTTTTTGCACTCTCCTCTTTCACCCTCATTACAAGGTTCCTTAATTCCTTCTCACTTTCTGCCATCAGAGTGGTATTATCTGCATATCTGAGATGGTTGGTATTTCTTCCGGCAATCTTAATTCCAGTTTGGGATACCTTACCCCAAACAAGATTGAATATTATAAATAAAAGTGTACTGGAGATGCAAAAAGGTAAAAGAATGTTATTTACATATGTGGTGGACTTGTGAATTATGGAAGAAAGAATGGGCACTGTTTGTTAAAGAAATTATTGGAAATAATATTTGAATATCATCAACTATTGCCTTCTTAAATATAATTAAGAATGACCACATTAAAAAAGAACAGAAAGACTTAGTTGTTATAATGGTCACAACAGTAAGATTAATATTTGCAAAAAAATTGGAAAAATTGACAAACAAATCAACCTTGAAGATTGGTATAAAGAAATGTGGAGTTTAGCAATAAATGATAAGTTAACATGTGAAATAAAAGCAAGAAGGGGAATGACATATACAATGATTTTAAAGAGATACAGAATCTATATTTGAATTATGTTTTTGTAAAACGAAAGGTCAAAAGCCAGCAGAAGAATCAATGTGCTGTATTTTTGGAGTTGAATGGGGTGAAAAGAGAGTAAAGGAAATATTTTCTTATCTGGTCCTGAGGGTGATGGTGGGATAGGGGGGAAATGTTTGTATTAGTGCATGTATGTATAAACATTTTATGTCAGCATTGTTCTTATTGTTTTTCTTTAATTACTAAAAAAATTTTTTAAAGGAGGGCCCAAGGTGACTTACATCATTAAAGGACAATATTTAAAGCTAAAAACAGTAAGTATAGAAATACTTAAAAGGATCAAACAAATACCACACGACAAGGCAGTAAAGAAAAACAAAAGTGAAAACACATTCAAAGCATTAAGGCACAACAATCCATTGCAAAACCCCACTGAGACAGACAGTCGCTCAGGGAAAGCTTGCCTGAAGAGAAAGATCTTCACCTGCTTGCAGAAGGACAGCAAAGATGGGGCCAAGCAGGCCTCCTGTGGGAGGGAGTTGAAAAGTCTGGGAGCAGCCACAGAGAAGGTCCTCTCCCGTGTCCCCACCAAAGACACCTGTGGAGGTGGTGGGACCTCTCCTGATGTTCTTAACATCCGACCAGGCTCATAAAAGGAGATGCGGTCCATGTGAGAGCTAGGGCCCAAGCCATTTAGAGCTTTATACAATAGAACCAGCATGCCCGGAAATGGATTGGCAGTCAGTGGAGCTGCTATAAAAGAGCGGGTTATGCGATCACTGTGACCAGCCCCAGTTAGAAATCTCAATGGAGCTGCTACAACAGAGTGGGTTATGTGATCACTGTGACCAGCCCCAGTTAGAAATCTAGCAGCTGTGTTTTAGACCTGCTGAAGTTTCTGGACACTTTTCAGAGGCATCTGAAATATCATCTCTCCATAAGTGACAAAATCTGGGCATCCAGGCTCAGAGATGAACCCAAGAGCACCCCCAAGCTGTGCATCTGTGTTTTTAAAGGGAGTGCAACCCCATCCAGCACAGGCTTACACCCCATTCCTTGATAGGTCTTTTGACTCACCCAGAGCACTCTGTCTTGTCTGGATTAAGTTTCAGTTTTTTTCACTCTCACCCAGTCCATTACTCTGACAAAATCTGGTCATCCAGGCTCAGAGATGAACCCAAGAGCACCCCCAAGCTGTGCATCTGTGTTTTTAAAGGGAGTGCAACCCCATCCAGCACAGGCTTACACCCCATTCCTTGATAGGTCTTTTGACTCACCCAGAGCACTCTGTCTTGTCTGGATTAAGTTTCAGTTTTTTTCACTCTCACCCAGTCCATTACTGGCATCAGACACTGATGTAGAGCTGGAAACAGCTTCCTTGAATTTAGATGGCAAGGAGAGAAAGAGTTGGGTGCCATCTGCATACTGAGGAGACTGAACCCCCCAAACTTTGGACAACTTTTCCCAGCAGTGTTGTGTTATATAACATAAGGAGACAAACCAGAACCCTGAGGGACCCCACAGGACAGTGGCCAGTGTGTTGAACGTGACTCCTTCTGAGTTCTCTCCTCCAGGAAGGACAGATCCACTGTAAAACAGTGCCTCCAAGTCCCATCCTGGAGAGAAAGGCAAGGAGGATACTTTGATGGACACTCCCCCTGTCTAGTTCCCGGAGCAGTCGTCCACCAAGGCAACCAGAATTGTGGGATCCAAGGAAAGCTTTTTCAACAATGGCTTTACCATTGCCTCATTTAAGCATGCTGGGATCCTACCCTGCTGTAAAGAAGCATTCACCATTCCGCCTACCCACTTGACCAGTCCCTTTCTGGCAGCTTTTATAAGCTAGGAAGAGTAAGGATCCAGCAGATGTGGATGCCTTCATCTCTCCAAAGGCCATGTCCACATCATCAGGCTGCAGAAACTGAAATTCATCCATCAATACAGGGCAAGCAAGGGCCATAGGTACATTCACAGGACCTGTATCAGCTACAGCATCCAAGTCAGAGTGCATCTGAGCAATTTTTCCTGCAGTGTCATGCAAATTCTTTGCAGCAAACTACAATGTGATCTGCATTTTATTCCTTTGAGCTATGATGTAACATGCCCTTGACTATTTGAAAAAGCTCCACTAGATGACTCTGCAGCTGCAATGGGGGGGGGGGAGAAGAATGACTTCTTGGCCACTACCACTGGCATTGAATAGGCCTTCCGATGGGCCCTAGCTTGGGTTCTGTTAGATTCACCCTGAGTTTTTTGCCATTGTTGCTCTAGTCTAAATCCCTCTAATTTCATCATCACCAGTTCTCCAGTAAACCAGGTGGACAGTCTGGCTCTACTTTGTGGGATGAGACATTTAGGATCCATCAGATTTCTGGGACAGACTATTTTTTATTTTGTACTCCACCTCTGCAAAATCTCTGAGTCCCAGTGAATCAAAATCCTACCAGAGAATGGTTTGTCCATGACAGTGAAAATGCAGAGAGTTCCTCCACACCCAGGTCACCAATATTTACCCCAGTGTAGAAAAACGGACCTAAAGTGTGCCCTGTGGCATGGATACCATTTGTGACAGACACATGATCACCATGGAGATCATGAAGTCTTGAGCCACTCCAGGGTGGGTGGTACACTAACAGAATCCCTGTTCTGTCCCAGGCCCCTACCTTTAGAAACACACATTCAAACCCAAGGAACTGGGGAATGTTCCATCTGGTGAAAGGGATAGAATCATGATAGACCTCTGCAACTTCACCTCCCTGCCCCCCAGGTCTTAATAGGAACATTAAAAGTCAAATCAAGATAAAACAGAAGTGCTCCTGGTCAATCAAACAGATTAGGCTTAATTTGTATGGCTGGAAAAAGTTACGCCACTGTGCATTTGTATGTGTGGACCAGAGATATCCAAGTAATACTCTATATATCCAAGTAGCACCCTAAGAAACAAAAAGAAATATAGAATAAGGTGCAATTTGATTGTATATCAACTGAACTGGGTGCAACATATTGAAGAAAATGTATTACTTGGGAAAAAGTGGAAAAGTTGAAAAATTGATTAAAACTGATGTCAGCAATTCTTGTTGGAGAAAACAGAGCAAAAAATGAATTGGAAAGAAAATAAGATTGCTCTATATGTCTCTTTGGCTTAATTTGTTAAGTGACTCCTCGTTGCTGTTATTTGATATTAAAAAATACCAGGAATTTGCTGTACTTCTCTGAGCTGGCTGCAAAACATTTACAACTCCGAAGACCAAAATTTGTCAAAGAAAACATGCCAAGTAATTATAGAGAGTTTCTTCCATTGGCAATTCAAAGCATCAAAATAATTTTACCTTGATATGTTTCACGCCACAGCTAGCCACTCTGTTGGGTTGATAGGGATCCCAGGAAATATCAAAAATCTGACAAAAAATAATCAAAACTGCTACACTAAATTAGAAACCAATTGCATAAAATTTCAGATATGTCAAAAATTCAAACGTACATTTTCCTGGATTTGAACAAAATCCTACTGTTTCATTACCAATGTATAAGATCTACATAAATATCAATGACTTTCAGTAAATATATCTGTGAAGCATAATTAAGACTGTAAAAGTTTCTTGTTAAGTGAATGCCTTTGTTTCATTCCTGTCTCTGTTATTCAGTATCAAAAAGTATCTATGCAAGAGATGGCAAGATTCACACTCACTATGAAATCATAGGAAAAGTGTCATAAATGCGAAATGATTGGAATGGAGCAGAAGAAATTAGAGGAACTTAAAACCCACAAATCTAGTACAAGAGCCAAGCCTATTTGGTTGCAGAAACATGTCTTACTTAAAATGCCAACAGTCTTTTATGATCTAATGACTGCCCTGTCTATATTTACTTCCTCTGATGTCTCCATTGTAAAAACCCTTCCCCAAAATTTCATATTATGCAAAAAAAGTCCCACAGTAACGTTTTAAAGAACATAACTTCCCAGTAGAATAAACCAAAAGCAAGACCTGGCATCGTCGTTCAGCATCTTTGAGATCCCCAAGACCCACCATGCTCTGCCCTCCTCCATCATACTGGGAGTCTTGAAGGTGACATTTTACTTTCCCATGATGTCCAGAAAATAGCTTTTACTACCCACAGGCCCCAGCAGTGGAAGGAAAGTATCAGCAGAGGATGCTTCCCCACCTAGACCTGGCTCTGACCATCATTCCCTTCATTAGCAGTAATACTCAAGAACAATGTCTTCCATGAAGGTTTTTCCTGACCTTCTCAGTGGGAGATTCTGATATCTTGGGAGGGAAAGAAACATGAATGTTCCCCAAAACACATAATTCCAACACCACTGCTTCAGGTACACAATTTAGACAAAAGAACCCTAGTAACTAAATGTATGAAACAACACCCTCATGGAGTTAAATTACTTCTTTGTATCACTATCTATGAGATGGGCACGAATCGCACTTCAGCACTTTGGTGGATCAGGCCCATGAGTGTTGTGCAGGCGCCCCAGATTCCACACCCTGCCTCCTTCCGTGGGCGCCCAACTCAAAGGCAGAGTCCTGGGCTCCCCTGCCCCATCTCCCTCTCTGAGTGGGCACCCGTGGGAGGCGGCGGGGTGGGAAATCTGGGGCATCTGCCAAACCATGCCAAAGCACCAAACTGTGGTTCATACCCATCTCTAAACACCAGTTATGAGATGTACGAAGGATTCTTTGAGATCAAATACTGTAATAAGTTTGACCAGATCTCCTTCTCTTTTTCTTTAATTCAAAGCAGTGGCAAATATCAGGGAGAAAAGCTTTTGGGAGGGGAAACATTTTATTCCTCTAGCCCACAATTGTACATAGAACTCAAAGCTTCTTTAGGTCCCATGAGGAAAGGGGGTGTGGGGAGGAGTATAGAAAAGCTATTATACCACCATTCCACACATACAACCCATGTTAATAGTAACACAGGGGTGAGGAGGGATGCAAAGATTTTATCAGAAAAATGAAACTGGAAAACTTTGTCTCTCTTTGCAAAAATCCTCTCTGGATGCTTTAAGTAAAGTAAATATTTCAGAAGGGCCTATTACAGCTCTCCTACATTACAGTATAAATGCACCACTCAGCCCTGACAAAATAAAGATATATATTCCTAGTTGCTCAATTCTCTTTCCACAGTATCAAACAATATCATCTCTCCATAATTACTTTACAGACTAATTACTATTACCCTATTTCTAAGAGCATTGTTTAATGGAAAAATGGATAGGCAGCTACCTCTGGAGGAAAAAAAAGACTACAGGAAATATTTGACAACATTATAAGAAGAAATTTATAACAAAACTCATTAGTTGATTACCCTATCCGAATGGCCAGTAGCTGACGCCAGTAGTTTTCCTTTCTTCCAATCCCAGATGCAGACTGTGTTTTTGGCATCCAGTCCCACTGAAGCCAAACGCTTGCGGGGGGGAAAAAAAAAAACAAATTTTCTTAAATGGAGATTAACTTAGAAGCAACAAATTGACTGCAGTAAACAAGCATCGAAAGAATGTTAAAGATACAAGAAAAAAATCAAATGTTGGTATAACTAGTCAATATGTTAAAAAATACATTGATTCGACAAGACATTTTTAGAAATATTTTAAGACACCCGAGAATAAACGACAAAAGTTCAGGCTCCTCGGTCTGGCATTCAGAAATGCCACCAAAGTATGTTCATACAGCACAACTAGAATGTGGTAAGTAATGATGTTATTTCAATGATTCCCCAAGCCAAACCAAACCAATTAAAACAAGCAAAAGAATCTCTCCAATTAAAATCTCTTCTAAGGGATTAAAAATACATATTTTAAGACATATGGATAAATACAGAGGCCTTAGAAACACTGAAATAGTAAAAGAAATAGCAAAAGAAAGGTGATGCAAATATTTTTGTTAGAAATATAGCAAATTCATCTAATACTTTGAGACCATCAGATTAGATTGTAACAATTCACTGCATTAATCTCACTCAACAAAGGTTCTCATGACAGATCTCACAATTCTACTGGACGTATTTCTCATCGGTTAACGGATAAGAAATATTGCTGCGTCACAATGTGAGATTTTGAATATATAGAGTGTCGCCATGAAAATGCACATTGTACTTCAGAACTGAGGCTTGAACGTCAATTTATTAAAAGTTACCATAAAACAATTATCCAAATCCAGGCTGGTCCGGCAGCAATGTCATTTTAAAATAACCCTGCAAAGGAATTTCTTTCATGGCTGACATTCAAGGCATGGGAAAGAATTGAAAGGATACTGACATAATTGGTAAAATGTTGCAAAGTGTAATATAACCAGAGATGATGTTTGCAAGTCCTATAATATGCACTCTCTGTAGTTACTATACTCTGGTTTTAAAGTAACTTGGCGTACTAGATCCTTTATTTTACACATCTTTACTCTTCCAGGCTTTGCAGATTTTAGTTAGAACAATAATGTTTATCATTATGGTGGCAACCTGCCAAGTTCTGAGTGACAAGCCCTTGTACTGTATTTATAGGAGGTACAAAAGCAACAGAAATTCCTATTCTAAAATTTTCTTTGGTACATCAGACCCCTATAACTTTAAAGCCTCAGAAAAGAGAATGTTTACAATTTGAAGCGAAATTGTAAACATCTGAATAGGGAGGCTGGAGACACAAACACAAGAAGGCAACCCGAACACACCACACTACACACATTGGATACCAACAAGCTGACTTCAGCAGCAGCAGACAAGGTCAACATCCACAGATTGAAACTGGCTTATCTGGGTGAGCACTGAGAATAATTTTCAAGTGTGTCTAGATATGCTAAAAGGCTTATTATTATATTTTACTTTCATAGATTTTTTTAATTTTAATAACTTTGATACTTTTAGAGATGTATTCCACGCTTTTTGATTCTGCCTTTTCAGGCTATAAGCTCTTGCATTTTTGTAATGTAATTAATTCATTTGGTATTTTTATTATTCCGGGTTTTTTTTTTTGTTCCTGTATTTTGGATTGAATGCTGACTTAAGTATTTGCTTGCAACTTAAGTTTAGTTTTCATATATTTTTAAAGAATTTGTGTCTTAAGAAAATTTTCCATAGCTGTAAGACTTTCTAATGTTGTAACAACTTTGAATTCTTTTGTGCTTATGGAGCATAGAAGTAGTGTTGATAAATAAAGATTGCTGAATTAGACATGTTTCCTGGAATTATTGCAACAATTAAAAGACTTATACATTGATACCAAGATGAATTTTGATACGATTGGAAATGATTGCCAGATTGCATTCTGGAATTAAACCTTCAGGAATAAATGTCATCTGTGATGAACACAGGCTTCTGATTTTTCCCTACAGGTTTATAAAGTTCTACAGGGCTCTTGGGAAGATGTTCAGGCATCAGACTCTCTGATCTGACAGCTGGACTGTAGAAAAAGACATTAGTCTGATGTTGATGACAGTATTGACCGGAAAATTGGAAGATTCGCTTTCTAGTCCCCAGTGATTTGTGAAAATGAACTGACCAATAACTGTTTTTCAGCATGATCTACCTTACAGGATTATTATGGGGAAAAGTAAGAAGAGAAGAGTCAGGTGTATCACCATGAATCAGTCCAGGAAATGTGGAATATAATGACAAGCAAACAAACATATATATAAAAACAAACAAACATTATTAAGATAATGGCTAATGCCTAAAAGTTCATAAGAATCATAGAACTATAAAGTTGGAAACAAGCCCAAGGAGAATTTAGTCCAACCCCTGCCAAGGCAGGAGATCTGCAGCTAGACCATGTCTGACACAGACATAAAGAATACTCATTAAATGCCCCATCCCCATCATTTTATACTGTGTCAACAAGAATCTTGACAAGGAATTTTCAACTGTTACAAGATTCGCTGCTTTTAGGTGAGAGCAAGACAAGAAGCATTATTTTTCCTCTTCAAAGACCCCATAAAATCCACACACCATGCAAAGCATGTGTCATTTCCCTTTTGGGAATCAACACACAGAGGACATGCACAGAGCTATAGTACATGTGACTGAGACACAAATTACCTCTCTTATACTTATATTCTTTAAAAGTACATGCAGCAGAGCAATTACCATAGTGTAGGTTGCATTATTGTTGAAGTGTTATTGCTGCATCATTGTGAAGACACCGCATTGTTAAAGATTTTCTATACATTAGTTCAATCATCAGTCCAAATGGAGACTGTAGTCAAGAACGCGTGAGAAGATTAAAACTCAAAGTGCAGCTATGAAGGAACTAAAAAAGATCACCAAGTGCAAGGACATATTACTAGAGATCAAACTATTTATATTATAGTTATACATAGTAATCTCCTGATTACTATATAGATGTGAAAAATGGACAATGAAGGAAACTAACAATAATAAATAATAAATCAATTCAAACTGTGGCATTGGAGGGAGAGCTTTTTGGATATCATGACCACAAGAAAGTCAAATAAATGAGTTTTAAATAAAATTCAAGCTTGACCTCAATAGAAGCTAAAGTGATTAAACTAAGGTTATTATACTTTGAAAATATTCTGAGATAATAAGACTCACTGGAAAAAGATAATAATGGCAGATAAAACAGGAGGCATCAGAAAAAGAAAAAAGATTTAACTTGATAAAGATTGACTCAGGGTGCAGCTATACCACAGGAAAGATGTGACTGGATTTATTATGAAGCTGTATCCAGGATATCAGGTTTCCCTGTGGTAAATTCACTTCAGCCAACCATCCAAGAGTCAACGGAGAAAGATGAGGAAATTTGCAATTAGCCTTGTTTACAGCTTGTTATGATAGTTCTGTTGTGGCTGTCTAGTTTCGCAGAAGGCAAGGTTACAATAGAGATTCCTTAACAAGCTGTAAACAAGATTGATAATTTCCTCTTCTCTCTCCGTTCATTCATTGCTTTTTCCTTGGCCATCCTTTGCTCTCCTAGGTGCCCTAGGGCAGTGATGGCGAATCTATGGCAAGCGTGGCACAGCTGGCACACAGAGCCCTTTCTGTGGGCATGTAAGCCATCAGGCTAGTGGCTAACCTCGTCTCATGACAGCACCAAGCCTGCCTCAGTTTTTTCCCCATTGGTGAGCCCTCTGCGTCCCACTGTGTGAGTTGCCTGAGTCCCTGTCTTTCCCTTTCAGCCACGCCCTATGTTTCTTGGCTCCTTTCTGGCCACGGCTGCTTGCTTCCCTCTGAGGAATTGGAAGAAATGAAGAAGCAGCATCTGTAATTCTGTTAGTGTGTGAGCGACTAAGGGGAGGGAGCCTCCAAGAGGGACTGAGCTGGGTGGGGAGAGTCTGGGAGGGGGGAACCAGTGACAGGAATTTCTAGCAACTTCTAGCCTCACTCTGATTTGGGGAACAGTTTCTTCACCCTACGTGTTCCTCCATGGCGGACATGAGACAGAGCCAGTCCAGAAGCACTTGAGGCATCGCATCTCCAGTTCCGAGGAGAGTTCTAACCTCTCTGGAGACCAAGCGCTCGTAACCATCCTTATCCCCGGAAGGGAAAAGAGGCAGAGAGAAGGGAGAATAGGTCACCGGTGCTTCCTCCTCCTCTGGGATTGATCCCTCCATCTTACCAGAAAGGGGGGGGCTACTACAGAGAAAGGAAGGAAGGAGCGGTGAGGGTGCGATTTCTGAAGCCCACCCCCTTTGACCCCAGGTTGCCTCTGACTTATGGCAGCCCTATGAATCAACTATCTCCAAAATGACCTGTCCTCAATTGCCCTGCTCAGCTCTTACACACTCCAGCCTCTGGCTTTTTAAGGAAGTCCATCCAACTCATTTTTCACCTTCCTCTTTTCCTGCTGCCTTCCACAATTCCCAGCATTTATGTCTTTTCCAGGGAATCTTGTCTTTTCATGATATGCCCAAGTAGAACAACCTCAGTTTCCTTATTTTTGCCTCAGAAATAGTGATGATAGTGCCTCAGTATTCAGGTTTTATTGCAGGGTTGGCACTTCGAAATAAGTTGGTTTTGTGTTGTAGTTTGGGCCCTCAGGCTCAAAAAAGGTTCGCCATCACTGCCTAGGGCGATGGCACCAAGCTTTTAAAAAACAAAAGAAAGGGGGAGGGAGAGGGAGAGAACAGGAGGGGAAGAGGAAAACAAGCAGACCCAGGAACCTGGTTTGGGGAGGAGAGGATTCAAGGGACAGCCAACGTCTGCCCTGCCTTTTTTCACTGTTGCTGTATCCAGGTGGAATGGATTGAAAATACAAATCCTTCCATATCAGCTCAAGCGATCACACTGCCCAAATCAATATCTATGCAGTCGCCAGAGGAGTGGCTTGGCCACAAGATGGATAAGGTAAACATATAAATAAATACAAAAAAAGTAGCTGACCTGCGTTGAGTTGTACATTGTGTAGTTAATGGAAAATAATGCGAATGGGACTGCCCCAATCCTACAGCATTTCCCATACTATTTGCCAATATAACCTCCCCTTTAGTAAACCATGGCTTTAGTATGAAATATCTGAGTGGGAATGTTAAGGATAGATCCTTTGGGAAGTCCATAAATTCATAGGGTTGTCATAAATCAGAAATCACTTGAAGAAATATAAAAACATCATCTTACAAAGTGGCTGAGGTTGTGCTTAAAGGTGGGGGGGAAGCTCATTTCTGCATTTCCCACTAGTTCTTGAGTTACCTTGGGTGGAATAACATGTCATATGGCATTCCCTCACTCCCACTCTGGGAAGTGGAGATAGTGGGAAACTGCAAAGAGAGATTCGTGTGTGACTGTTGTTGGGCTAATTCAAAGAGCTGCGTATTAGCAAGGATAATCTGCTAAAATAAACTGCTAGGGTAAAGTGAGCTGTGGACCTACTGTCTCGAATTTTCTCTCCTTCTCTCCAAATCGGTAGAAAATTTGTCCCCATTTGCAAAGGGGAGAATATTTTGGGAAAGTATGTGCGCGCGCGCACCCTCGGGCAACAGCCTGGCAGTTAACTTTAAAGCTTTCTGCAGATAACAATTGGGATTATCTAACTCTGCTAGCTGCATAATACCTCTCATTTCCTGGTCTGTAGAGAACAATGCATTTACAAGAAAATAAATCAGATTAGCCTCCAATTCCTTTCTCACAGACCTGTGTATGGCAAGCGAACAGAATGGAACAAGAGAACTGAGAAGCCTGCTTGGACTGGTTTACCAGCATTATGAAATGCGTTCATAGTCATTTAAAAAAAAAGGAACATTTTGGCTAGGCTTGTGAAAATAAAAGAGCTAGATAAAAAAAGGGATAAGGATTTATTTCAGTACAGAACCAAAATCAAAGAGAAGTACAAAGCATAAAAGAACATCCAAGCATAGATTAACCTAGGGATTGCCAATACCGATGAGAGGGGGGTATAGACCATTTATACAGAGAGTTGAATAGATGTCCCACATTGGGTGTGCGGTTGAGTGCAGTGAGAGCTGTGGTTTGAGTGTATTCATGTCCTCTCCATTCCTGCCTCCTCCCAATTCCTTTCCCCCCCTCTTTTACAAGCTAGAGTTCTAATCTCATAGAGAAAGTCATTGCGAGGACCTCCATGGTGGCTGGGAAGCATCTGAAAGAATCTGTGAAAGTGGAACTTTGTCTAAGGGATGAAGTTCTAAAGATCTAAGGGATAAACTGGGATATCTGCACCTTCTTATGGCCCTGGGATAATGAGATTACTCTCTGAAGATGCTGCTAGTTGCAGTTTTATCAAACCTTCTAAAATTTATGAAAAGGGACTAGAGATGGGTACAAACATCAGATGAGGAGGCGGGGAAGCGCTACCTTTGAGTGTGCAGCTGCTGGAGGAGGCAGAGGAGGGAAGCCTGTGCTCCTGCTGAGACTGGACAATCGTGCAAAGAAGAGGAAAAGGGCAATGTGCACCAGCTGGTGAGTGGCGGAGCTGGCCAAGGATTGGAGAAGGGAACATGTGGCACCACTGGTGGTGTGCTGATAAACTGGCACAAACCTCCGAACCAAGGTGCATGCCCATCTCTAAAAGGGACAGCTTCCCCCCATATAAGTATGGGTTTAATGAGTTCCTGGAAGTTTTTTTTCCCTTTCTGAACAGGTGTTTGGAGGTGACTTATCATATACAACTATGTGTATGCAATATTGACTTTAAGATACTTGAGAAAACACCCCCCCCAATTAAAAGATGAAATGACAACACAGCAAAAAGGACAGAATGTTTAAATGACAATAAGAGGTAATGCTTTGAAACAGAAGGCCACAAAACGAGGGGACCAAGGAGAGACACCTCACCCCAAAATCTGCTTCCTTTTCGGTCACAAACTATTACTGCATTTAAACAGACTTGAAAGTCTGTTTAAACACTACTCCAAAGGCCTTTTGCAAATAGGTAGGTTCTAAGGAACTTCCGAAAGGCAAAAAGAGATGAAAGAAGATATAGCATTCGCTCTTGCTGCTGGGCCAGACAGAACTAATTTCCGTAATATTAAGAAAGTGCTTATATTAACTAATATTACTGCCAAATGTATGGGTGATCTTTGGCGAGCTTTCTGAAATCAAGTCTAATAAGGGATTTTAAAACCACAGAAACAGAAATGAAATATACACATACCTGGCCGTCGGAATCAAAAGCCAAACAAGCAACTCCATGGGTGTGGGCATCCTTCAGAATAGACACCGTCTGTACGTTGTAGGAATCCCAGACGCAAATGTAAGGATCCTTTCCAACCTGCCCTGTAGCAACTAGGGTTTTATCCGGATGCAAAGCTAGGCTGGAAAACAGGTTAAAGTCAGAGTTCATCATCTAAATCAGAAGTGCATTACTAGCACACAATCTTTGTTATTACAGAACATACAATGTATATTTGCACATTTTAGTAATGTTCTCACTATTAATTTAACCAGTGTGTAAACCACTTTATATTTCTGTGCCTGTTCATATAAACACACAAAATGCTCCAGTCTTCTAACCAATAAAGAGAGGTGTGCTTCCCCGTGGTTTTAGCCACTCTTTCTCCCAGCCCCAACTCAGATTTATTTTGTCTTTCTTTTGTAACTGACACCAGGGGGAGGCTTCTGTTCAAAACAGGGAGTGGAGGGTCTTATCTCAAAAGTTCCCTGTGAGACACCTCTTCCCCCACTTGGACCACCTTTGGCTGACACTCAGCGTCTCATGGCTTCTAGAAGCTACTGATAAGCTTGGTACTAAGTTTTTGGGGGTGGCAATTGCCTCCTTTGTGATGTTTTGTAATTATACATCAGGTTTCATCAAAGCATGCTGATAACTCCCCTTGTTTCCCTCTGGGTCTGTTTTGTTTCCAATCCTTCTAGCACTCAGCTACCTGATTTTGCTACTAGACAAAATGAAAGATCAACAAGATTTCTGTAGAAAAGGGAAAGCAGACAGAACTTCATTATTCTTATTTCAGCAGTCTTGGTCATTAATTTCTGATAACGTAGATGAGAAATTGAGTCTGGCTTGCCCCTGATGATTCTCTTGGTCCAAGGTTCTGTTGGGATTTGACCTTTTTAACTGAAGACCATTGCTCATATCTTTTATCTTGGCAGCCCTCCCATTTCAAAAGTGCCTCAACACCAGAACTTGTATCTTTAATATTTAATAAATATTATGGACTCTTACACCATAAAGTAGAACATTTGTATGACACCATTATAAGTGTAGGTTGGGTAAAGTTAATTTGCTTGGACACAAACAAGAAAAGTGATCATATGAACTATTTTACAGGGTCTAGCCCTCTATTTGAAGGGCTGCCAAAGAACAATCTTTCTTTTGAAGTTGTGATCTATTTGAAGGTCTATCCCATGCAATTTAAACATCATGAGCCATAAGAAGGAACATTGGGAATCCTGAAGCTGTGCATCCACAGATCTCCATTCACAGACAGCAAGCTGAAATTATTCGCTAATTGCCCTAGTACTGAAATACTATCTGAATTATGAAAAAATATTTCTAATTTTGCATCTATACATATAAATTAGCATATGCATTGTTATTTTATTTATATATTTAAAATGTTTATATCCTGCTCTTCTCCTCAAGAGAATGCAAAGTAGCTTTCTCATGCAAATCAGTCTCCCAAGTAGGGGAATGTTCCCCTTTTCTGTGATGCATCAGTGGCCATCCTACCATGAACATGACAGTGTATGCACAACCAGGAGCAACCCACCCCTAGTTCATCCAACTATGGTATGCAGGAGACAGGGGTGACTGCAATAACTACCGTGGAATCTCTCTTCTCAGTGTTGTAGGGAAGCTGCTTGCCCGTATTGTGCTGAAGAGACTCCAGGTGCTTGCAGACAGATTCTAGCCAGAATCACAGTGTGGATTTCGAGCTAGTAGATCCACCACTGATATGGTATTCTCCCTCAGACAGTTGCAGGAGAAATGTAGGAAATAACGGCAGCTACTCTTTGTGGCCTTCACAGATCTCACAAAGGCCTTTGGTTAGCGGGGATGGACTTTTTAAAATACTTCCCAAGACTGGATGTCCACCTCGACTCCTTAACATCATCAGGTCCTTTCACGAGGAACAGAAGGGCACTATAGGTTTTGATGGCTCAACATTGGATCCCTTTGACATCCGAAGCAGAGTGAAACAGGGCTGTGTCC